GTCAGGATAAAGTAACTCATAGATCAGATATACTGTAAATTGATAAACAGTTGGGAAAGGAGATTTATTAAAAAGAACTAAATACAGCTAGGTGAAAAAGTTATCAGAAAGGAGCATGAATCAAAAAAATGAAAGGTACATTGCAGAAAGAGCAGGCAGACTGTTTATTCTATTTAATTTTATCTTCATCAGAAGAATAAATAGCTAAAAGTACAAGAGTTATGGGGAGAGAGAGAGAAAGAATGAGAGCAGCGGAAAGAGTGAAAAAAGAAATAAAGCCTATTAGGCAACCCAGTTCAATAAAAATAAATTCCTCCTCTCTCAGTAGTAAAAGCAAAATGTTTCCTGAATCCTGACAATACCCCATTCTTTTACTTTCTGGCTGGCTAGAACCCGAACAACCATCAATCAAGTTTGGGTGGCCGTGAAGTAGGCCAGATGGAGTATGTCGGAAGCATTTTCTGCTCTCCAGTGCAAGTTGGCCATTAGAGCAGCCACTCAACAGAAGTGCCTGAGTCTTTCACATCTGTCAAGATAGTTTAGGGAGACCTTGAACATCCCCAGCCTTTCAGACACTGATTAGAATATGTAATTGTGTGTGCTAGAGGAGAGGTGGCTGCCTCCACTGGGATTTTGTGATAAAAATTATCCTTTCATCCTTTCCAGCCTTTGTGACAGGCTTTCTCATGACCTCATTTGTGTACTAAACAGACAAACCACGGTGTCTGGGATATCACTGTCACGTTGCTGACAATCTCTCTGTCCAAATGCACAATATTCAAGAATGAACAACAGTTTTCATCCTGTCTTAACTACTCTTCAGCACAGCAGCCCGGGACCAAGCTATTATCTTCCAATCTGAGAATGCTTCCACAAAGCTATGGAGAAAAGAGCTCGGCAGAAATCCAGATAAAATTCAAATTCCTGATTCATCATCTGCTCTCCCCGTTAAAACCAATATACAGCAGAGTTTCTCTAATAATTCTCCTCTTGAAAGCAGTGACCTCCAGAATGTCCAAGTGTTGCAGACTGCTATCCATACTTGGAGTCAGCTGCTCAGAAGAAAAATTACGGAGACGGAGCAGTTGCTAATAATGAAAAAATACAATATTTTTTTTTTAAGTTTCAAAATGAGAGTGTTTCAAAAAGATTTTAAGGTTTTTCCATGAATGCTGACTAATGATAAAACAAATCCCTAAGAACACTTAGATCACTAATTTATGAGGCAGACATTGATTCTCAAGGTTAATGAGTATCTCCTGGTTTAATTTAGCAGAAATTTTGCCACAGCTCATAGAAGTTCCTGGAAAACCAAAATATACTTTTATCAGCAAATCTGAAAAATGATAACTCATGGGATTTTTTCTACAGGTATCATTTTCCTTACTGTTAAGCACAGATCAAACTCCTATGAAACAGCAGTCATCTTTGAAATAGTTAAGTCAGAGGAGAGAGACACGGGATTAACCCTACAAGCAAAGTTGCTGCATGTTCATAAGCTGGAAAAGTGGATAAGCAACAGGAGAGCAGCAGTTACAGGTAACAAATTTATTTGCATTTTTCTCAAAGCACGGAAAAGGTGAGGAGAAACTTCAGACACCAAGCCACACTAAGGAAATGTGTCAGGTGAAATCTGATACACAATACTTAATTGGGCAAGTCTACGGAAAATAATCTGCCTTACCCACACACCTTCCTGGGTTCTTAACTAATTGCATTAACTTTTTTAAAAAAATGTAAGAGTTAGGGAGAATTGTGAAGGTCTCAGGTAAAGATATGTACTCCACATGCAAGCAGTGATCAAAAGAAACACATATTTAGGTTACTTAGTGGGTGTAATGAACAATAAAGGAAGCGTTACAATAATATTTTCTTTTTCAACATAAATCTGTAGAGGACATGATTGGAATATTGTGTACAGTCCAGATTCTTCATCCCAAAAATTATTTTGCTATAATAGAAGGAATTTAGGTAAGTTCAGTAGAGAGCATTCTTATCGTGGATAAATTGTTACACAATAAAATACTTAAGTTGGACGTTTTAGCTTTAAAAGATGGCCAGTGACAAAAAGCAACAGAAGATATATAAAACTACAATTGATTGAATAAGGTAAATAGGGACTTTTACCAACCCCATTTACAATATGAAAGCAAAAGGAAATGATGTCTTGAAGAGGTTACAAACATGACCTAATAGAAGGAAAAGTTCAGGGCACGGGAAAGAGGATTAGTCAGGAAAATAATGAAAACTACCCTTTTTCTAAATATATTGGCATTTCTCAGTGCAATATTCTCAGTCAGTTCACATCTGGTTTTGGTCCTCCCAACCTATTGCTGTCAGAGATGTATTCAGTGATGCAGCTGTTGAAGCACACACCGGTCAGAAAGGTAACTGTTCAGCAGTAGAACAGTTTCCTGTAATCAATAAGCCCCTCACTTACTATTCTGCTGACAGAGCTCCCGAATGCCAGAGAGCCACTGCCCTGCTACTCCAGGCAATCACCACAGCACAATGCACTTGATCAGCATTTACAGGTCTCCCTGCATATCAATACAGAGCTTATACAACACTCTGCCTCGGAAAAAAAATTGCTGCTTCCAAATAACGTATCATATGCTTTTTCTTTTGTACTTTTCAGCCATTGATGTGAAGCTATGGGTGAAAAGGAAGGCTAATATGTACCTACAGTCCATTCCATGTGCTCAGACTATAATCTAGATCGTACCTCTCGTCTGCAACGAATTAAACTGGGTCCTGTTGTAACTATAGATTGAATACAGTTTAATTTTTCCTTTATCTAGATGTGGGTGGGCATTTACCTCCAACTTGTAATTTCCTTCACCTCAGGAAGAAAACAGAAATACTCTCATTTCAGCTAACAAGTCAGCACTCAGATTTTTAATTCAAAAATAAAGTTCAGTAGGGCACAACATTTCATGCAGTATTAATCTGCTTGACCTAATTTCCTACTTTAGTTCCTCCTACTGCTGCCAACACACTGTCCAGTGTAGCTCCTATGTAGTTATACCCACTGATCTGCAACATGGATTTCTTTTCTTTAGCTCAGGGCCCAGGCAGACTGTGACTGTGTGCCTTCCATGCGTGCTGCTCCTGCTAATGCCAATAGCAGATGAAGGAGCAGGTGGCATGCAGGAAGATGTCATAAGATTTCTAACGCAGATCAGGAGAGCAGAATTTCTGCCTACGGTTATGATGATCATAAACTTATGTTTGTACTTATTTCTCCTTTTGCATTCCTTCAAATCAAATGAAGCCAGGTTTCCTAATTCAGTCAAACCACATAACTATGTATGCTACAGTCAGTCCCAATCGGAATTCCAGTCTCAGCTATAACTCACTCATATCTAGAATCAGTTAAACTCCAGTCCAGCAATTTCACAAGCTCTGCCTTTCAAACTGTATCTTGTAAACGACCCTGTACCACCCAACAGCATTGCTCTCAAAAAACAATGCTGTATTAACACTTTGCTTTGTCTCCCTCTCCCCTCTTCTGAGAGCCATCAAGAGAATATACTGACTCTGCAGGAGCAGAACAAGGCAGAGGGCTGCCCATGGCTCGAGCAGCAGAGGCCTTCTGGCAGCACAATAGGAAGCTTCATTCAATGAAATGCCACTTAGGCCTGTAAACATACTCAAAAAAAGCCCCCCCAAAAAGTCCTTCCCCCCTAAACTAATAAACAATAAAAAAATCACACAGCTCAAAGCCCTTCCTGCTTTCTCACCCAGTCACTTCCATCCCCGAATGAAGACGTTTGTTGCTGCCGACTCAACCAAGTCAGCTGGTCTCTCAAAATCTAGTCATATCCTTCCTGCTTCACAGCTTGTCATTTTGTACACAGGTTCTAGAGTTAGTGCTTAACTGATAACTCCATGGATGGTGTTCAAGGAAGACCAGTAACAGCCATACTGACTGCAAAGCAGATGGATGCAGGCACGCACACAGAAACCATCTGCAACCTCATCAGACATGTCTCTGGTTGCATAGGCAGAGCAGGAAACCTGCAGGTACCCCTCAGATCAATGGTGCACCATCATCCACAATTTGAAAATTGCTGATCCCAGTTGCACCTGTAGCTCCTAATCACATTTATTTTTTATAATTATGCAAGTATTCAGAGGCTGGAATGTGTTAAACCAAGCTGGGTTTAAGCAAACAAATGCCAGGGTAGTATAGCTTGTATAATCCACTTAAAACACATTACTTCTGTATCTTAAACAAGATCTCATAATTTTATCTACCACTATAAATCATCCTACACACATAACACCTGTTATGCCAACAAAATAATACATTAAAAAGCTTTAATGATTAGAAAGAAAATAAGTTTGTCTAAGGGACACCTGGAAACACAAATGCAGGGCATATGCCTTTCTGTATACTAGGAATTACACTGTCACTTGAATTTAAGTAAGACACATACATTCTGTACCCTCTTTCCTGCTATCTTTGAATATACAACCCCAAGAGTGCAGAACATCCACATACTCTCTTTACAGCATGCAGTGAGCAGAATATCCCTTCAATACTACCTGTCCAGAAGGAAAGCAGTTGCTTTTTCAACTAGTCAGTATTCAATACCAAACAAAATTATATAAAAGGTGTATGTATTGAGAGATACTTTTGCATGCTATTATTAGTCTGTTCCCATCAACAGGTGAGTTTTGAAAAGCATCTGTACACTGGAGGTCTAGTGAGCATCAGCAAACTGGCAGCAGTACAGGTGGTCTAAGATTAGAATTGGAGCTGTAATCTTCAGCTCACCTCTTGTGTGTGAGACTACCTTGACTATACAACACAGGAACATTGTCTGCCTGACAGCTGGGAGATAGGAGTAATGCAGAACTGAGGAAAGGTCATGAAAGTACAATCTCCTGTACTAACTGAGTTTCCACTGAAGCATGTGAGACTTTACAAATCCAGTGATTTAAATGAACCGGTATGCAGCTTTCAGCTTTTGCTTTCAGCAAAAGGAATTTACCTTGAGGTTTGGGTTTGGTAAGCTTGCCACAAGGCTTTGAGATTGTAACAGTCTTCTGGCAGTCAGCATTATGAAGGGCTCTCTTTAGGTTCCCGGTTCGAGTCTTCAAGGCAGTATTCAAGTCACATTCTCCCCAGGCCTGGAACTGGTATTTGCATTCCGCTGCAATGAGTAAATAAATGGCAATATTTAAACCAGAATGACTGAGTGTGAAACCAAAAATCTTTTGAGTCTGATAGGATGTCACGGACAGCCAATGCTTGTAAACAAAAGGATTGTGCAACTGAAGAAAGGAATACCAAGAAAAATTTAAAGATTATTTGCATTGATAATTGCAGTCTCCTCCCCCCCAAAATACTTTAAAATTGAATTCTCCTGCTTTTGCATGGATATTGCATTATTGTCATATAAAGGAAAATACATTCAACTATAAAAATATATAATAAATTTTTAAAAGAAAGAAATAACAGCAGCATGAAATGTCATTCACATTTTCACATTCTATATGGTTGTTCCTCCATTGGTGTGATGCCAAACGTTACTGAGTAAGGATTGAATAGTTTCAAGAACATACGTGCAACTATGAACTTGACAAGTCTGAAACTGCTGCACTGATTGCCTTGGTAAGGTCACAGTGATGTCAAAGCCATACAAGCTGTTTAGTAAAAAAAAAAAAAAAAAGTTTGCAAGAGTAATCAGATCTGATTCCTGGACAGACATCTTGTCCAGGACAGATCTGACATATCTTTCTGACCTGTTGTAGATTAACCTTTTGAACTGAATAATATAGATGAAATACACTGGTCTTCATTCACTCCTTTCAATGCACACACTTGTAGCTACCCATACTCCATGCTGCAAATCACGTATCGCAAGGTCATGTAAAGCCTGTGGTAACCATCACAGACATTCATAGCGGTGAGAGAACACACAACACTTTCATTGCTGCCTTAAATAGTGTTGTACGCCACAGGAAAGCAGATTTAAACATGCTGCTGGAACACCAAGTTTACAATAAGTAGTTTACATGGACTCTCTGCAGAGGAGCTGCTTTGCTTCAAAGAAGATGCCTTCTGATGCCTTACATGTTATAGTTGCAATGAACGTGAAATATAGAAGTAGCCCCTTCACCAAGACATTTGCAGACCTAAGCAGGAAATACAGAATTCCTTCTCCACACTTAAGTGAAAACTAAAGCAAATCCCTTGAGAGAGTGATGCTTACCTCCAAATTGCTTCTTCCAGTTGCAGGGAATCTTACACTTCTGAGTCTTGGTGGTTTGTTTGCACTCAGCTCCAGTGCGAGTGCCCTCGCGTGTCCCCAGGCCACAGTCACCACTGGTGGGCACACAGACACTCCACTGCCATTCCCCACAGTCAGACTTCTTCGCCTTTTTCTCTGGATGAAGACAAGGAATAAACCCAAGCAAGAGAAGTGGTCAGTACCCAGAGCCAATGGAGAAATTCCCTAAACTTCACTAAACAGTCACCACACCTGAAAGGGTGAGTAAGGAAGACATTCGTAAAACAATTACTTCAAAAGGCTGAGGGAGCTGGGTCTCTTTAGCTTGGAAAAAAGGAGACTGAGGGGGGACCTAATTAATGTTTACAAATATGTTAAGGGCAAATGTCAGGAGGATGGAGCCAGGCTCTTCTCAGTGATGCCCAACGATAGGACAAGGAGCAATGGGTGTAAGCTGGAACACAGGAGGTTCCGCTTAAACTTGAGAAAAAACTACTTTACAGTGAGGGTGACAGAGCACTGGAACAGGCTGCCCAGGGAGGTTGTGGAGTCTCCTTCTCTGGAGACATTCAAGACCCGCCTGGATGCCTTCCTGTGTAAAATTGTTTAGGTTCCTGCTCCGGCAGGGGGATTGGACTAGATGATCTTTCGAGGTCCCTTCCAATCCCCAACATTCTGTGATTCTGTGATTCTGTGAAAAGCAAAAAGTCTCACATCCTCTTCACAGTTCTGCAGAGACAGGTCAGCCTCTTTGACTCCAAAGCAGGATGAATCATTCAAATTCAGTCCCACTACCACTTAGATATTCTCAAGTGGATTCTCATCTTCAGAATGGGGAATAATCTAGAAACCTTCAGGGATCACTGACCAAAACAAGCAGTAGGGCTCACTCAGAAAGGACACTCTTCTGTCTCCAGTAGTTGATAGCATGCAAATATTTTCAGTTCAAACAGAAGCACTACACACTATACAGATTAGAAATCTATGTGTTCATGTTGTGTATCAGAGGATTTGAGCACCTCCAGGGCACAGCTGTAGGATACAAACTTTTCACTTGGCATACCATGCTGCATTTTATGTCAGTATATGACCAAAACTCCAAAGGCAAAGAAAAAACTACATGGAGATGCGTACTAGAAATGTTTTTAATACAGGTGGGTTTGCTGCTCAGGGACAAAAGTAAGGATCATGATTTCATTTAAATCCCTAAACTCAAGTCTGATGAGAAAAGACAGCAATGTTATCAAACCCAAGGGTTCACAGAAATAATTAGTTAGGCCATCAAAACATCACAAGTAACTTTAAATGACCTTATATAAAATTACTTTCCTTCTAGCTCTTGTATATTTACATTCATATTTTCTCATATTTCTATACAGCCACAAGGGTTAGAAACACCTTTTTTTTTTTTTAATGGGAATGCTAATTCTGACAGACTCACAGGTCATATTAACTGCTGTGTAAGTAGACTGTAAATAGTAAAACCCAAAGAAAAATATCAAAAGATGTGTTCCTTAAAAAATGTCAAAACTAGGTTTGATAGATATGAATTTTCCACCCAAGGCCTGTCTCTCCTATAATGAGGTCTGAGTTCATCACTGACAGAAAGCAATTACCACTGGATGTCTGGCTGTCTATCTGCAGATGCGAGTTCGTTCAATTCTTTGTGGGAGGATTTCCACATCACACAGCACTGGTGTAGCATTGTCATATACAACACTGAACGAGTGACACGATAACTGCTCTTTCATCACTCCTGTTTGGTTCTTCCTAAGTCAAGCGTGAATCTATTCCCAGAGCAAATTTTAAGCTGCCTTGCAATACCCACTCTGTGATAAACTAAATGCTCCAGTCTCTGGGGCTGTCAAGCTGCCAGCTTTCATGGAAACTACTTTCTGTTTTCCTATTTAACACAGAACAACATGTCACAGCCACAAATCCCTACCCTATATGTCAAAAGGTTAACAAATGACCTGAATTTCGTAACAAAACTAGAAGTATTTGACATTCTCCTAACATGCAATCTATCTCAGGGATTAATTCTGAATTACGCTGAACCTCACCTGGTTTCTCTTTTTTGCCAGCCTCGGTGGTACTCACAGCTGCCAGAATGAAAACAAGTGCCAGGAGGGCAGCTGTGAACATTCGACGTTGCTGTTGGTGTTGCATTCTGGAGATTAACGAGAGAGAGGAAAAAAAAGGTTGGTTAGACTGTAAAAAGTGGGACCCCATCTAAAATATAGCTACAGCATTTTGGGGAAGCTCTGCTTCAGGGCCACAAGACATAAGCAGGTCAAACATAATTAGCCATTGGCAGAATGGGCAATGATCTTCATTCCAGAGAGAAAAAAGAATTTTAATAATTTTTTTCCAGCCTGTGTACCAAATATCTGATCTACATCGCTGATGTTATGGATGAGTTTTGCCACGGGACATTCAGTAATTATTGCTCACCTTCTAAGAAAACTGTCAGAACCAAGGCTCCTGATGGGCCTGGGATGTCTCTCCTGACCTCCTGCTGTGATTTATTGTGTAAAACTAAACAAACCATATACTTTGCATTTCAGGTTACCCATTCATATGAAGTAGAGAATGCTATACTGTCCACCTTGCAAGGCTTCAAGTTCTTATTAGGCTTACCTGACATCTGAAAAGAGCTTCTTTCATGAAAACATATAGAGGTAATATGTGATGTATTATCTTAATTGTCATTGTCATGTTGCTACCTACCTTTTCCTTCCCCTCCAATTAGTGTCTCTTCCTAATATAAATTAATTTTGCCTGAAATGCAAAATGGACACAGAGATAGGACTCACGCGCACAGCTAAAGGCCATCCATAGCATGCTAATGAACCCAACACCTGGATTTGGGAAGCAAATAGTCAAATATTTAAAAGTATTATGAATATTTGCTTGGTAGGGAAGCATCAGTTATTAGCCAATCACCAAAAGTCATTCAGAGATGTCTGACTTCAGTGGCTTACACATATATTTCCCTTTCACTTTGCTATAACTTACATTGACTTATTTTGGCATTGTTTATTGGAAAGCAGGGCTATAAGAAAAACGTTTGTTAATAATAAGCAATCTCCCCATTTCCCAGAGACACCTCTCTAGTAGGCAGATGGGTACCAAGACAGTGGACTAGAGATTGCTTCGATGCTTTTTTTTTTTAATTCAAACCAGGGCCCATGACATTCATGCTATGCCAGCCCTCCAAGGAGGTGTCAACAGTGCTAGCCACTAAGATGGCTGTAAAAACTCAACTAGACTGATATTACAGAGAGTTTAGAGGCAAACTGATCTCATTTTGCTGAGCACAGCAACCTTAGGGGAGAAATAATTCTCACCATGAACAAAGAACAAATGTATTTGAAATTTAATTTGGCACTCCTCAGTATTCCCTGCTGGCAATCTCTTGCTCAAAAGCAACATAATTGTAACTGACATGGAAAACAGGAGAGGAATCCCAAACAGAGACTTTAAGTAGCCAGCTTTAATACCGTGCTAGAAGCTAGATGAGAAAACTTAATAGTTTTGTTGAAATAAAGTTCATGTGAAGACTGCAAGAGACCTGGCATGCAAACGTCTGAAAGAGCTGTCATTAGCACCAGTTTGGCTTACTTCAAAAGAAAGTGCTATTTCCCATCATGAAGAAAGGACCACCAGTGTTTCCAGTGAACTGAGAGTCCCGAGCTAGAGTGCACGAGTCCTGCATGAGCTTGGGTTTGTTTTTTCCTTTCTTCTGCTACATGGTTCCACTTAGAGCCTCTCATATTTTACAGAATATGAAATAAATACATAAATAAAATAAGCAATAAAAAACCCTGCCTTTTTATTCAGCTTACTTCAAACTGGGTCTCCATAATCAAACACAGTTGCAATACTGTTAAGACACCAAACTTCTCCCCTTAGCCCCTTTCCCTTGGAGAAACTTCACCACCAGCAGCACTGCACCTCACCTCACATCCTGTTTTCACTACAATTTATCTTCTCACTTCCTCTCTTCCAAACGACTCACCAGAATCCCTCCTTGAAGGAAGGAGTTAAAGGCTTGTGTGGAAACACATATGGAGAGACAAATACTTCCATGAGCTCAACACACTGTCCCAGTGTGCTGTCTGGGGGTGTCAGAAGCTGAAGCAAGGCAGCACCAGTGGGTTTGCTACACAGGATGTTGCTGCATGCAGGAGATGCCCACAGTGGGCTTGGAGCTCCCTCCTACATCTCTGCTGCCCACTCCAGGGACCTGGGATGTGGTCACACATACCCCATGGCCTGCTGGCAGTCACTGGGAGCTGTGAATAACTGTGTCTAGGGAAGCTGCCTTATATTAAGTTGACAAAGATTTAAATTCAAATCTGATCAACATTATTTTCAGCAAAACAGGCTGGGAAAATAGTTGGGTATTGGAGTCTGAAGTGTTCCAGAAGCCCTATAAACAATATCCCACAAAGCCTTAATATAGCAGTTTTCCTAAGACTCTTAAGCCTCCCTACAGCCAGAACACTTGCCAAGTTGTCTAAGGCAAACACTAAACCTGCAGAGAGATATATATATATTTCCCTCTGGCAGAGAGAGCCAGGCAGCTTCCTCAAGTGCCTTTGCTATTAATTACCAACAAGTGAAAGCCAGGTTGTACAGATGGAGGCCTCGCCTCACACCACACCAACACTTCAAATTCAATGCAACTGGTATTACTACAGAAAACTGCATAATTGTTTTGTACATGATAGATCAGCAAGGGCACGTGCTCTTACAAAATTACGTGGCCTAGATATAGTACCCATTATATATTAGATATTTTTTCAGAAAGTCAGAAAATTCCACCTATCAGTAATCATTTGAGTGCAATCTTCAGTTTTCCTTGCAAATATTTCAGCAGGCTATTAGAAAGATGGACGAAGAGAAAAACTTGTCAGACTGACTTGGTTTTGAAAACAACACTGAAAATAACTTTGTCTTTTTTGGTTTATTTTTTTCAAAATTCAAAGGTGACTTTTCTTTTTCATTAGATCCTGTGAGAACATTTCCAGTTCAATCTTTGATTTAAAGAACTGCCAAAACTGCTAATAGCAATGAAAAAACAAGTGTTTCACAATATGCAAAACAGGCTCCTCCCCAACATTTTTATTTTTGCAATGAGCCTTTGTGTTGGGTTTGTGTGGTGGGGTTTTGGTAGCAGGAGAGGGGCTGCACGAGTGGCTCCTGTGAGAAGCTTCCCCAGCTCCAAGTCGAACCCGCCTCCAGCAAAGGCTGACACATCAGAGACGGTGGTAGCACCTCTGTGACAAACATATTTAAGAAGGGGGAAAAGTTACTGGACAACACAACCTGCAGCAGAGAGAGGGGTGGGATGTGAGAGAAACAAGTGTGCAGACACATGGTCAGTGAAGGAGGAGGAGGAGGAGGAGGTGTGCCAGAGCAGACTCTCTTGCAGCCCATGCTGAAGGCTGTGGTGAAGCAGGCAACATGGTGCTTAGCTGCTGGCTAGGCCTAAACCACAGCCTTCTAGCTTTACCAATGGTAACAAGTTAATCATGTCATGAAGGGGAAGTATTTCTAAAATCCTGTATGACAGCCCCTAAACAGAGCAAGAGAGCAGCATTTAAAGAAATGGCAGCGGTGTTTACAACCAGCAAGAAGAGGTGGGGGGAGCTCCAGAGTAATTCAGAAGAAAAAAGCGTAAAGAGGGAGAGAGTTTAGAATAGCTTAACTGGTAAGCTGGAACACGACCAGTAAAAAAAGAGTGAGTAATCATGAAAAGAGCACCATAACAGGAATGAGAGAAGAGCAGTTAATGATGGTTAAACAATAAAACAGAGTGTGATAGAAAAACAGGAAATGTGTAATGAGGTGAGAAGTGAAGCCCAGCTGAGATACACCATAGCAAGTGGCTTCTCCCAACAAAAATAAGGCACAGGAATTACTTCAGTCTTACAGCTGATTTTACAGTCAATCTCTGCTTGGGAGTAAAAAATGTAAGGAAAATTTAAAAATGAAAGGCAATCAAAATTAGTTCATCAACCATCCATCCATTGGTTCAATTGCATGTTGAGCATCAGGCAGAAGTCACACTATGGCTACAGCTTAAAGGACTTTCTAAGTGGAGCCTGAGCCTCCCACACCAAATCCTTTACTACCCCCGACCTGATTTTACAACCACACTTATCTCTCCTGAACCTGATTCATTAAATCATTCGTTTGCTGTGATAAGTACAGTCCACGTGACTAAGTGTACCAACTCCTTTAGGAAATACCTATCCTATTGACTGCAGCTCTACCAGAGATCCAAACCAGTATCTACATAATGCAGACACTTGCATTTGTGTCCAGAAACGATACAGACACTTTCATGCAGTGCCAGGCTTTGTCTAACATCCCAAGAGAAAGCCTACTCCTTCCAACCCAAGACCCTGCAAATGCAGCTTGCTTCTTTCATACCCAGGTTGGCAGCCAAGGTGGCCCAGGTGTTTTCATGCTGTGCTCCTTAGACCTTTGGATCTTAGTTAGTGCAAGTCAAGCTTGCTGGAGCAACTCTATCTGCACACAATTAACTTATACACAGGTTCTCCATTTCTTACATCTGAACAAGTCTTTCCTGAACAGAAGCACCCAGAACAAACCAGACAATTTCAGATGAAGCTCTACTGGTGAGCAAGTGTGTATTTTTCCTAGCCATACTGAAGGTAGCATATGCAGCACATCCTAGGATCACATATGCCTTTTGCAGGTGGCTTTTTCACTGTTAATAACTATTACTGACAAGCCCTTCCTTTCATCTGTTCTTTCCAAAGCAACTGGCAAGGTCCCAGATTATAGAAGCAAGTATTTTATTATCAGTCCATATGAGTGCAATCTCCCACTCTACACTATCAGATTTTCTCACATGATTTAACCCATCCATATCCTCCAGCTCTTCCAATATAATATGCCAAACATCAGCTATGTTGCTAATGCTGTTACCATGCAACCCTGCATGTATTGCAATACTGTATGTATTGCCATTGCTAGTGACAGGCCATGGACTTTGTAGCGAGGCTGCATGGCCTCAGGACTGAGGCTTGTCAAGGCTTGCTCTGTCCGAGCTTTCCTTGGCCTCTCCACAGTTTTGTCTCATTTGGTTTAGCTGCAAGAGTAATTTCTCTAATTGAGCAGCTAGCTACAGCTAC